TCTTGGTTTCCAGTTCTGCCCACTGACATCCCTTCAAACAGAGGCAAGGCTGAGGAAGGGATGGTGAAGCAGCTCTGGCTGCTGCCGTCCACCTTCTTACACAAGGGTTTGACTATCCCAGGTGCCAGCTGCCCACACAGCTGTAGCCCACGGCTGGGATGGAACCCAGCGCCTTGCCAGGAACCTGCATTTGCAGGCAGCAGGGGATTTTGCAGCCTCTCTCATCATGGCTGTCACAATCCTGCTGGACATTGGGGCCAAACACCACTTGGTTCCCCAAATCACAGCCCTGCATGGGAGATATGAGATTAGGGTTGAGATGGTCATGAGGTGGTCATGAGATCATGTCCAGGATGAGATGGTTTCAGAGGATGCCTGTGGGTTGTTAGCAGCAGGTTTCAGAGTCCCTCTCCTCCTTTCCACCGCATAAATAAATAAAGCTCATGGGGTTATAATGCACTGCAGCACTTTAATCCTGCTGGAGATAAAGTGGATTACAATGCTATTTGTCTGGCCACTGTGTGCAGAGCCAAACTGTTATAACAGGATTCAAATCCCTTCCCTAACTCAGAGCAGATTTGCTTGTTGCTTTAAAAAACAGCTATAAGACAGCTTGGCCCCATAAACCATGCTACAACCCTTTTTGAATGTAAGATTGGACTACTTATGACCTCCTTTAAATATGCTTCTTTTTGTAATTCAGTGAGTTCATTGAAGCCCTACAGAGACAAAGATGGGTGGGTTTTACAAGCACAACTTAACCACAGTTTTCTACTCTTTGCAAGAACATTATTCACACACTCCAAAGAGTTAAAGTTGTGTGTAAAAAGCTGGTAACTCCTCGAATGGGTAAAATCTCTTTTACCCAGCTGTACACAGCACCTCGCAAGGCATCAGTACCATCTGGGCTGTTACTGCACAGCAGTCCCCTGCCACGTGCTATGGCTGCTTCTGGGGACAGGGACCGATGCCAGCTAAGGAGCAAGGACACACCACCCACCTTTGCTTCTCCCTAGGCTGCAGCTAGCAGTGCTGGGGACAGTTGCTGTTAACAGGGTGAAAATGCACAGGAACTCACTGAGCCTCATCTCCACGGGACAAGCAAACACTCATTTCTTCCATGCGCACAGAGCATCTTCAAACTTTGCACACCGGGCCCTGCGGCCAGCAGCAGAAGTGCTCTTCTGATTAACATGGCCTTGGGAAGGAGCAGCCACTTGGCTGGGGAGCTCTGTTGCATCTCCCAGGAGAGATGTCATGGTGGCCATATGCTTGAAGGCAGGCAGGTTACAAGGTAATGCATGTAATACGACTGAGAAAGAAGCTGACTTATAGAAGTGCAGTAAATACGTGGTTTTCTCTGCTTGGCAAGTGAATTTTGATCCAGCATAGCAGTGCTTCCTAAGGTGCTGCTGCTGTGCCTGCCTGGGGAATATCGCAGTTGGACAAAGAGCAGAAAGCAGACAGAAAGACAAAGCAGCTCTGAAGCAATCCTCCCACCCCATTAATACCCCTGCCAAACAGGCGAAACAGAGGGGGACGGTTGCAAAGCTGTCTTTCCTTTAAAAGGAAAAGCTGTCTTTCCTTTAAAGCTGCCTGTGTCATCCTGTCGTGCACCGGGAAAATAGCAGCAGATCAATAGAGGTGTCTGTACTGACACTCTTGCCACCTTGTCCTTTAAGATACACTGAAGCACTCATCAGCCTTCCCAGTTAATGAGCCTTTCAGTGGGAAGAAAAGCACAGGTTTCATTCTGTGTGCTTCTCTGCTAACCTCCGGACCTCTCCTAAAGGAAGAAGTGATGGACTCTGGTCACGGTCAGAGGTCTGGGCTGTGACTGCGGTGACAGGGTGCTGACATAGTTTTACCGCAGGCCCCCCTTGGTCTAACTATGGGTCTGTGACAGCACAAGCTGGTGCAAGTTTTCCCTGGAGGGTACCAGGGCTCCCCTGCCCTCTGCTGCTCACTGAGCGCTTTACACGATGCCAAAACTGACACGTATATGGTCACCAGCCATGGATCCTCCTGGTAGGCTGGACCCCACCACCATCCCCGAGCACTCCCCTGGATGGAAGGAGTGAGAACAGAGGTCCTTCTTCAATTTGACTCTAATGAAGTTAAGTGTGTTGGCACTGATTGAGGATCAGGCCTATGTGAGGGATGTCAGTGTGCATAATCACATCAGAATATGATGCCTGTCGTTTATCATTTGCACCAGTAAACCAGGAGCCCCCTCACCCAGGTGGATACAGGATACAGGATAAAATAATCCCTTTGCAAAGAGCTTACAATTCTGGAGTAAGCACAAACGTTTAAACTTTGAAGGGAAGGGAGAGAAATGACATTGCTCCTAGCTCTTGTGTCCTAGCAGGCATGTATTCATCGACCACATACCTTAATACAGTTTTCACTCCACTTGTCAATTGTTCAGATAGATTTGGGGGCTGTCAACAAAATGTTACAGTTGAAATGACCCGGCTAGAAATAACAGACTGTGAAGCATCTAAGTAGTCATAATAATGTAAACTATCTCAGAGCAATATGTTTGTCCCTTTCATTTTTAATGGTCTCTCAGGTGTCGTTTGGCATAGAGGACAGGCTTTGGGGGAGGGGGGGAAACTCCCTGTCCCAGCTTCAGAAGTCCCTTTCCATTTTGCTGGAGGGAGCAACTACAGCTTCCCTGTGCATCCCAGGGGGAGAAACAGGCACCCCAAGAAGCAGATTCATCTGGCTTGTCTCTGACACCAGGTTTTGGACAAGGTGTGGTGCTGTGCTAGCAAGAGCTGGTGGGGAGAGATGTCTTGCTCAGGGGTAGCTGGTGCTCTTGTATGGACACCAGTAGTGCTGTGCTGGACACAAAGAGATCTGACCCACCCTGCCACTGAGTGCTGGTGGGTTCCTTACAGAGATGGTGGGAACCACACTGAGCACCTTGAAAGCAGATCAGAGCTAAAGCCCACCATATTCACCCAGCTGGATGTGAGCTGGGTGACTTGGGAGCACCTTCCAAGCATATTTCACTTTATAGTCAGGGTTTCTTTTTCAGAGCAGAGAGGTTTCTTGTCAGCTTGTCCATCTATCTGGTGTCTCAACAGACCTGTGTGGGAAAACATAAGCCACAGGGTTCCCACTGCAATCTTATCAGGGAAGCAATTCCCACTCAAGTCAAGACAATTCTCATTGGAGCTTCACTGACATGCTGGACCTTTTCCTAGAGGCTCCCATTTGTTTCCAAGAGAGTTTTGCATCCTAATATCAAGAGCTGTCAAGACAGTACTGAGATTGCTTGTCTCTCTCTCTACCAGGCTTTGGGTCTGAGCAGTGAAGAGATTGGTCATGGGGTGATTTTAATAAACCGAAATACCCTCTGTGTTTAACAAGCAGAAGCATCAACTTTTTCTGGTATGCTCAAAGGTAAAATGCTGCAGGTCCCACAATAGCAAATCTGCAGCTCGAGAGGACTTGATCTGATAAATTCAGGTCTAGTCCTAGATACCAGTGGAGCAGTCAGCAGACACCCTTCTGTGTGCTTATGGGACCTCATCAGACAGTGCCACAGGCACTGAAATTGCGTTGTGACCTTCAGTAACCTTTTTTCTGCTCTTTTTCTTTTTTTTTTAATTAAAATTATAGATGAAAGAAGCAGGAGACAGTCACGTAAAAGGGGTCAAGCACAGAAGCATTCACTTACAGAATCTCTCCATGCACTTAGGAAAGCGGCTCCTTCTTGTATCTGTACGGATCCTTTCAGATAATGACAGGGACGCACGTTTTTAAACAGCTTGTGTCAGCAGAGGAGCAATGCCGGGAGAGGTGAGCCTGTACCCCAGTAGTGTGTCCCTTGGGAATGCCTGCCCTGGCCAGCAGCACTCATCAGGCTTAGCACAGTGCTTACAGTGAGATCCTTCCCTTGCAGTGGAATCCTCCTGGAGCTGGTGCCCTGCTAGAAACAACCTCTCCCTGCCTGAGCACAGCCTGAGGCTGAAAATACAACTCTGGGATACAATCTGAAGAGGGATTTAACCATCAATGGACCTCCCAGGAACCCACAGTTCAGGAAAGATGCTCCCAGCAATACCTTCGAGTTCCTTGCAGGGACCTCAGCAGATCCAGAGATAAGTTGTCCTCAATTAAACTAATTTCTGAGCTTGTGTTGGGCTAGCGAAGAGGCACCATGGGTCAGGTCCTCAAGGACTTCCACAAAACAGAAGGCACTTTGTTAAAGTTGGTCATTCGCTACTGTGATAAAGTAACTAAAGCCGCCCAGTTGCTTTCTCCCCCTGCTGCTCCTTCTCTATATACAAACACCATGGCTCTGGCATAGACAGAGCTGTTGCCACTTTCTCAGTGAAAATCCAGAACTGTGAGAGTAAGAGAAATGTTTTATGTGGACTATAAATAGTTTTGCATCAAGGCAAATGTATTCTCCTGCTTAAAATAGATTCACCTTACAAACAGCTTAAGGACAGTTTCAGTGCCGGAGGAACGCCTTCAGACTCCCTCCAGGAGACAGGAACAGCCTTTTTCCTCCAAAAAGCAAACAAGACCAACAGCCGGAGACCCCTCTGCTGCCACCCCTCCTCTCCCTGCTCCCTGCTGCCTGGCAGCATCCTGCTGTGCCTGAGCGCCAGCCTGGAAGCCCCCCCAGCATCCTTCTACCAAAAAGGAACGTGAATTCATCCAACTAACTTTTCCATTCATTTTTTTCCAGGCACTTGCAACATGCCTTTCACATGGGTGAAGGGGATGAGGAAACTTTGGGGAAGGGGAGAAGCGACTTCCCACGATCGCTTGGAGCTGAGGGTTGCTTCTCCTTCACTCTGAAGGGAATCATGCAGCAAGACAATGCAAACATCCTCTGCCAGGGCTGCAATGTGTTAACGGTACTCTCCCCTAGCTGTGAGAGCATCATTTCATTCCCTGCAGAGAAACGCAGTTGGGGGGGGGGCCCCCCCCCAAGATGAGAAGATGTCAGAAGAGAAAAAATATTTGTAACTCACCTTTAGGCTGTGCGTTGGGTTGACAACGCAGACAAGTTGCCCAGCAGCGGAGAAAACCCTCTTTGCCTTGTAGTGCTGAAACCGCAGATGAATAAGATCTAACACAGCCCCAAAGCACTGGGTGAAGAAAAGCATCACAACTTTCGGCGTTGCTGCTGCTGTTGGTGCTGCTGCTGCTGCTGGCGGTGGGTAGGGGAAGCAGCGAGGGAGCCCCTGAGTCCTTGAGCCCCGGGAGGGAGTGCAGGCGGTGTGAGCTATGCTCCGGCACAGCTTAGCATGCCTTCATATTCATCATCAAAATAAGACGGGAAGAGGCTTGCAGCGGCAGGGCGGCCAATGGAAAGGACAGAAATGTTATCCTTGAGGTCCGGAGACAGCCAATAACAAATGCCTCCCCTCCAGAAACTCCCTGATGAATTGAGCCTGGTGGAGAATGTATTATTGAACATTACCATACATCAGCACGTTGCATTTATCTCGTGATTACAGCCAGTCGTACATAAGGCTGTGGAGATATGCAGACAAAATTGATTGTTTAACGTCTCCATTTATTAATTGCCTTAATTTAACAAAAGACCGTGTGGATGCCAAAGCTAAATGTAAGGCATAGGGAAGAAGCCCACCAGTGAAACTGTTAGAAAGTAGCAAAAATAGATTAAGTAGACTGTGTTTTCCTGAACGAGAGAAATCAAATATTCAAAGAGAGTTACAGTTCCTTGCAGGGGTTAAGCAGAAGTAGAGCTCACTGTATAAATAGATTCACGTCTGTGCATTTGCTGGCTTTGATTTGGATCATCACCATTCTGAAGTTTTCTAGATTTTATATTCTGCTACTTCAGAAGGGTCCCAGCACACAGATAAAGCTTCCCTCACCACTAAAAATAAGAGAGGTCAGGTCTCAGGTCTGGTGTAAGTTGAAATAGTCAGCAATGTTTTCCTGATTTACACTTGCTGGTGGATCAGGTCCATTGCACACAAAACATGGTAATTACTGTATGTTGGAACCATGAGAGCATAAAAAGGCATGGGGCATGTTTCTAAATATAATGAAATACATGATGCATGAGAGCATACACAGAGAGAAACTTGCACTGAGGGAAAAGTAGCTTCTAAATCAACACAATAATTAAACATGCAGAAGGCTTTTGCTTGTCATTCATCTGCATATTGGTGGGTAGGAAATTACAAATTAGCCATTAGACAGTCCTAGGCATTAAAAAAGAGTTAGGGAATTGCAAGGAAAATAACACGCTTTTGTGTATTATTACCAGTGTGTATCTCTGTTGGTGGGCAGGGAGTCTTCTCGAGCCATTGAGTCTCATTAAACTTGAATCGCCATAACTGGCTTTTCCAGGAGGTGACTGCAACGAAGCAGCCAAGGGAATCAAAAAGCACATTCATTTCATGGGACAATCCTGTGTGATATGTTGCTCTGCTTGTTAATAAATCAAAGAGGGTTAATTTAATTAGCTCTCTGCCAGAACTTCCTATCAGGGTGCTATTCAGGCTTGCGAGCTAAGTACTCAGATGGCTTATTTAGCCTTGGTAATCCGTTTTCCCTTCAAAGCAGAACAGATGAAAGTAGCTTTCCTTTCTTTTCTTTTTTGCTTCTTTTAAACATGAGTCCTGTGCTGGGTGTGAGGCTGCTGCTCTGGGTAAAGCAGCCCCCATGCAGCGCAGGCTTCAGCCTGGGACTGGATTGTCACAACTGCCTCGTACTAAATCAATACTGCAATACTGGCTCTGCCAGACTGCAGAGAGCCTGTGCGTACAAAAAATAAAACATAAAGTAAAAAAGGAGGCCTGAGTGGATAAATAAGTGGGAAATTGTGAGTGCTGGAACAGCTGACAATGTAATTCCACCCCCCCCAGCATTAAGGACAGGAGGAATGTGTATCTCGGTTCTTAACATTCGCTTGTAAATGAGGAGATAATTTTTGCAGCGCTGAGAGACACTTTGAGAATACTTTCAGACAGACTTGAGGACAAGTGACTGAATCGATTTGCTTAAACGTGTCCTTTTCTCCATTCCCAAAGTAACTCTGAGCATCCAGCTATTTATTATTTATGTCTTCCTGATTTGTAGTTGGTAGCTGCACAAACACTTCATAGCAGCAAATTTCAGTCTGCAAGTTATCAGTTCGAGTACCCTGCCCTCAAAGCCTCAAATGAAAAAAAAGGTCTTTGATATTTAAATTGGTTATCACCACCTAAACCCCTGGGATTATTTCTGTTTGACTGATCGACTCAATTGAATACCTAAGCTTGGGGGACACGAACACGTCCTTGGGGAGCAGAGACAGCACCCCCCATCCCTGCTGTCCAGCCAGCCTTGAGCTCTGGCAGTGCTGCGGTCCAGCCCCTCTGAGACACAGCTGCCTACTTGGGGGGCAGAACAGGCATCCCTGATCCACAGGCACACAGTGACATCTTCAACCTAAATAAACATCCTGGCCACTGGGCTGGTATACAGAAAGAGTTGCCATTCTTGCAAAGAAAAGACAACCTTCCAGGGTGGGTGAGGGACCTTTGAAGTGCCCAAACACCCATGTGCAACGTCGCCCATCTCACATTCTACACATGACCTTCTGAGGAGCATCTCCCTGACAGCAATATGTGTGGAAAAGGAGGAAAACAAGAACTCAGTGCATCTGAAGTGAACTCCTGCTCAGTGGACATTCACTTTAATGGCAACACTTCTGGAACATGTTTTATTGCCCCTATTGTTCATGTCCTGGGACACACACACAGCCCCTGTGACAGCAGCCTTTACTTGTTGATGCAGCCAGAGGGAGGAGGAATAAGTCCACATGCAAGGAATCTTATTTAACTTCTGGTTACAAATTTCTAGTGACTTCAGCCATTATTTCCAAGATAGTTAATTCCGTAACATGCAAGTGTGACATGGCAAAAGGCTAAATCTTCATTAGGATCCAGATTTTGCCAAATTAGCATAGTGGCATCACCATAGTACACATGGGATTATAATGCTCCAACAGCTCAGCTTCTGATGCAGCTGCGTCAGGTTAGTACAGTAATAGGATCAGCTGCACATAAAAGCAGCACTAACTTCACAGTTTGCCCACTTTGCTTTTGGTCTGAGCCACTGAAGTGAAAGGGAAATGCTTGTGGGAAACCATGAGTGCCCAGGCACCATGCAATTTGGCAGGACAGCAGCTTGGGAGATGCATCACTTAGTCCAAACCCAATGTTAAATTGCAGGGCTTAGGTTTCAATTGGATTTCTTTATCTTTCTGATTAAGCACTTTTGGGGGTGACCTTCCTATGTGCTGCTTCCTCTCCCTTTCTGCCTTGCCAGACACCACAGGTATAGCAAACCCAAGTTCTTTCTTGTCCCTATGTGTATGTCTCACTGACACCCACAGGATGATTTCCGTGCCAATGGCACCATGCTGCCCTCCATTACAGACAGCCATAAGAGGAACATAACCTGTTTCAGGCAGCAATGGAACTAGTCTTTATCCCAAGGACGGGAGAAGGGGATGTTCAGCATCATGAGAATCCATCCTGGCAGCTTACCAGCCTGCTTGCTGTTTCTGACTGCTAGTAGGATTTCTGGCAGGGCTGGCTGATGTGGGATGTACTCTGGCTCCGCTATTTATATTTCCTTGGGGAAGGAGACAAGCCAAGCAAACCTGTTGCTGTCATCAAGTAGGGACAGCCAGCATGGGTGCCGGGAAAGACCTCTTTTATACTCAGCCCTGCCTTCTAGGGATGCTAGCTGGCTACTTAAATGTGTTGGTGCCCACATCTAGCTAACATTCAAACCCATTTTCTGCTTGGACAGGCTGGAGGAGCAAGATCCATGGCATGCCAACTAGCCACCTCTCCTGGGACTGTCTACATCTGAGTGCATCAGCACAGCTCCCTTCATAGTCATAGGGGTAATGGGGCACACTGAGGATGCATTTTCCCTGACCTCACTGGGACATCAGGCAGTTTTCTGCATCCTCTGAGTGAAGCTTCATCTGCTCTCCTGGATCTCACAGCAGGTTTTGAGGAGATGTATTTTCACTATTAATTCTCATTTTCCTCTGTTGCAATCCAGAGCTTTTAAGCAAGAAGGAGACCAGTGGCACTACCTAGTAAGTTCTTCCAACATTTATTTGTCTTCACCACTAGCATTTTTCATCATACTTCCAGTCTGAATTATTTGTCTGCATAAGCTTCTGTCTGCAGAAAGTCATTGAGCTTCCCCTTGCTGAGATGGGGCAGCCTCTGGCACCGCAGACCTTCTCCATGCGAAGACACAGTTTTTGCCTGAAACCTCCTTCAGCAAACTCAACAGTTTCATTTGCAGAGCACTTTTATTGCTCAAGATGTCACTTTTACAGCTCCTCTACTAATTTTCTCTTCCTCTTCCTCATCTCTTCTTCAGCCTGATCTGCTCCTGACTGCTGAGGAGTGCAGAAGCAAAATCACCCATTTGGGTCACAGCATCATGATGCACTGGTTACAGCATTACACGTTCACTCCTTGGGGTCCCATTCACCCACTTCCTCTTCACTTACAGGACAGATTTAACACCACTTCAGCACAGACACATGGAAGCCAGAACTGCCTGCTGGCAGAAAGGAGAACCTGAAACCTCCCTGGAAAATGCATGGAGGTGCTCCCTCCCCTTGTCTTCTGTGGCGTCTACACAGATGAGAGGCGAGAATACCAGCAAGCCTTTTTAGTCCTTTTAAAAAATGATCTACTTTTTCATGAGCAAAGTGTTGTCAAAAGCTGTTGGCTTTACTGAAGTGCTTTATTTGTTTGTGGAAAAGTATTTTGCTAAATAGGTCTTAAAAAATCATTTTGACTCTATGCAGCACTATAAGCAACAGCTGCACTGGGATTGTATGGGTGCTTCAAGAGGAAACTGATGAACCTAACTTTCTTTAAAGGACAGCTTTTATTGGGCAAACCCCATCAAAATCAGTTTTTAAAGCAGTTAAATAACATGACAATTAAGATGTCAGTGATAAACGGCAATTGCTCCTCATCCTGTCAGTGGTACACAGTGATAGGACAAGGAGCAATGGCCATAAACTAAACCACAGGAAGTTTCACCTCAACCTGAGGAAGATCTTCTTTACATTGAGGGTGGCAGAGCACTGGAACAGAGTGCCCAGGGGGGTTGTAGGGTCTCCCCCTCTGGAGACATGTAAAACCTGCTTGTGTGACCTACTCTAGGTGGCCCTGTCTTGGCAGGGGTGTTAGATGAGATGATATCGAGATCCCTTACAACTGTAATGATTCTGTGATTCTGCAATAAATGCCACAGATAACCTTATAAAACTGGGGAGAAAACAGAATTTGCTGAACTGGAACCAACTGCATAATTCTGAGGTTCTTCCCGACATTTCCTCTGCTCTGTCTTCCTGCTCCCTCTCGCCTTCAGCTGTGCATGGCCATTGCCCTCAGGGCTACTTTGCAATGCTGCACAGCCAACACCATCACCAGAATAACAGGGAATGCACGCACCATTGTTCGCATGCTTGGGCCACGTCTCCCCCATCTGTCACAGAGCAA